CAAAGTGTTTGCTCCTTCAAAAACGCAATATTGTATCCCTCACGACAAGATTCTTCTAAAGAAGAATGTTGTTTTCCTTCGGAAGAAACAGATGCTATTTTGTAGAATGCCACATCATTCTTCTTGGCAACTCTTGCATGCCACAGATACAGCATTTCTTGAAAAAATGTCGGTATTCCTTTGAACATACATGTTCATTTTAAATTTTAACGGTTCAATCTTTCATTGTACAATGTAATAGGTTGAAAGAAGCAAGATTCTTGTAGTCATGCATTATATCTTGAAAAACACTAGTCTAAGATGTACTAGTCTTTCAAACAACATGTATGGTTGAAAAAGGTTGAAATATACAATATCTTCAACGCAAATCCTTCCCCCTCCCACTAGTCAGACATCACCCCTAATTACAAAAATCAGCTAAATGCCATTCAAGGACGCAATGCTCCTAGCAGGCTGTACACTACAGCTGGGGAATACAAACAATTTTTGTTCAATACAGCCTACAGCCCATTATCTCCTTTGAAAGGGGCAGCAATTGTGCAGAGCATGCAAAAAATCGTTCAAACATGTGCTTGTATTTTTACATTTCACAAAGGCACAGTACACAATTCACTGCAGAAAGCAGGGTTGTTTTCAAGGTGCATGATCTTCTCCAAAAAAGACACTTGTTCAAGATACAGCCTTTTTTTCAACAAGTGCATTTCAAAAGTTTCAGTTGCGCTTTCCTGCACAAAGTGTATTGTTTCCCTGCAAGTATGTTACTGTTTTTCAACAAGGCAGCGCTTTTAAGGCAAAATATAGATGATGCCTGGAAAAGGTCTAGATTCAATCGTAGTTAAACCATCTTTTGAAGAAGTGCATGTTCAATCTGGACATGTTCTTTTGTGAAAAGCACCCATGAACAGCATGAAAGGATGCAGAACACTTTCCAGAACATGCAGAATTTGTAGCTGGAAATTGCACTAATGTCTGTTCAATATCAAATACATATTTTTCGAGAAAAAATAAACTATTGTGAAATTAAAGGACCGGATAACCCCACAAGTCAACTTCTTCCAATAATAAGCATGAAAGGTTGTAGCAGGGACGGGGAAAGAAGGTTAGGGGAAAGGAGGCGGTGAAGGATCGAGAAGTTAAAACAGTTGTGAGTGACAAAGTGGAATGTGAAAGATGGTGTGTGTGTGTGTGTGACACAGCAGTGTGTGAAAGATGGCGTGTGTGAAAGTTGTGTGTGAAAGAGAGTGTGTGACAAAGTTGTGTGTGAAAGATGGTGTGTGACAAAGTGGTGTGTGAAAGATGGTGTGGCGAAAGATGGTCGGTGTGTGACAAAGTTGTGTGTGAAGGATGGTGTGGTGAAAGATGGTGTGTGACAAAGTGGTGTGTGAAGGATGGTGTGCTGAAAGATGGTGTGGGTGAAAGTCCTGTGTGAAAGAGAGCATGTGACAAAGTTGTGTGTGAAAGACGGTGTGTGGCAAAGTGCTGTGTGAAAGATGGTGTGTCAAAGATGGTGTGTGACAAAGTTGTGTGTGAAAAATGGGGTGGTGAAAGATGGTGTGTGGAAGATGGTGTGGTGAAAGATGGTGTGACAAAGTGGTGTGTGACAAAGCGGTGTGTGAAACTTGGTGTGTCAAAGATGCTGTTTGACAAAGTTGGGTGTAAAAGATGGTGTGTGAAAGATGGTGTGTTACAAAGATGGTGTGTAAAAGAGGGTGTGTCAAAGATGGTGGGTGACAATGTGGTGTGTGAAAGATGGTGCGTGAAAGATGGTGGGTGACAAAGTTGGGTGTGAAAGATGGTGTGCGAAAGATGGTGTGTGACAAAGTGGTGTGTGAAAGAGGGTGTGTCAAAGCTGGTGCCACGCCTGCCACGCAAAACGACAGTGGATGTGAGTTTGTGCCACGCCTGCCACGTGAAACGAAGGTGGATGTCACCAAGTGCCACGCCTGCCACGCAAAGTGGCGCGGCGCCCCAGGCGCCAAATCCCGGCCCAAGGGCACCACCCAGTACCATCTGTCCCACGCCTGCCACGCAAAACGACGGCAGATGTCAGTTTGTGCCACGCCTGCCACGTGAAACGAAGGTGGATGTGAGGTTGTACCACGCCTGCCACGCAAAGTGGCGCGGCGCCCCAGGCGCCAAATCCCGGCCCAAGGGCGCCACCCAGTACCATCTGTCCCACGCCTGCCACGCAAAACGACGGCAGATGTCAGTTTGTGCCACGCCTGCCACGTGAAACGAAGGTGGATATCAAGTTGTGCCACGCAAAACGACGGCAGATGTCAGTTTGTGCCATGCCTGCCACGTGAAACGAAGGTGGATGTGAGGTTGTGCCACGCCTGCCACGCAAAGTGGCGCGGCGCCCCAGGCGCCAAATCCCGGCCCAAGGGCGCCACCCAGTACCATCTGTCCCACGCCTGCCACGCAAAACGACGGCAGATGTCAGTTTGTGCCACGCCTGCCACGTGAAACGAAGGTGGATGTCAAGTTGTGCCACGCCTGCCACGCAAAGTGGCGCGGCGCCCGAGGCGCCAAATCCCGGCCCAAGGGCGCCACCCAGCACCATCTGTCCCACGCCTGCCACGCAAAACGACGGCAGATGTCAGTTTGTGCCATGCCTGCCACGTGAAACGAAGGTGGATGTCAAGTTGTGCCACGCCTGCCACGCAAAGTGGCGCGGCGCCCCAGGCGCCAAATCCCGGCCCAAGGGCGCCACCCAGTACCATCTGTCCCACGCCTGCCACGCAAAACGACGGCAGATGTCAGTTTGTGCCACGCCTGCCACGTGAAACGAAGGTGGATGTCAGGTTGTGCCAC